GGGGGGTGCGAGTACAGTCACCGTTCGTAAAAGTTTAATTAACCGGTATAAAAAGGCTGTAGTGACACTCGCTGCCTCTAGCCATGGTAATTTAATTTGAGATCTGTAAGACTGTTTCAACTCAGTTTCGGATCTTTATGATCGTCCAGCGTTTGAGTGCAAAAATAAAATCAATTTATACCCGAGTTACATAATTTGATTCAGTACTAGATCTAGATCTAGATCTACCGAAAAAATAATTGGGGCAATTTATTTGCCTTCTGTGGTATGGTCAGTACTGGTGGTGCTACGCAATATAGCTGAGCTGCCTATAGCCTAGTGGATGGTGGTTGGTCGGGGGAGGGAAGGGGGGAGGAGGTGGAGGGGAGGGGGAACCTTTCTCCTTCCTTCCGTAGTGTTATCTAGAACAATTTGACAACTGTAACTAAGTCTTCTCCGGGATACAAGGATTAATATTATTAATTGTTATTATTATCTTCATGGTAGGCTAAATTTTAACTGCTCTGTCTTTGGTTATCCCCTCCCAACACGCAACAAAGATTTATTTAGAAATGTGATTTACTGATTAGACTACTTTTGCAAGAGTTTTATCAAAAGATGTACAATCATGCACAAACTGTTGCTGACGCAGTCGAGTCTTCGGCAACGTGTAACGCAATCGAAACCCGCATCATGTGGGATAATGGTTGGATCAGCTCAACCAAAGGATAAAAGTACGAATTTTTGGTATTCTAAACTTGGAGAACTGGATTATGCATGCAGCAACTCGGCCTTGCGGTTGAGTGGAGTGAAGCAGAGGAGTGGGGGTGGAGTGGCGAGTGTTGAAGTGAGAGCCGCGAGAGTGGTGCACCGGATCATCCTCTGTCCACGAAGCCTGACAGACAGTCAGTCACAGTGGTACAGTACCACTAGGAGGTCAGTCAACAGGCGACCGAAGCTGCCGATGGCTAGCTCAGCGTTTGTCATTCATCAATTTGGAAACGGAACTGTTGGTTCATTTCGTGTTCGGGTCTGATTACGAAACCATTGCATTGTTGTTGACCCTGATGTGAAACCTTCGTGCTGGATCAATGAACCATTGTGTTGTCTGCGCTGTCCTAATTTGTGACTTACGACTGAAGTTGAAGTGTGATATCATTTTATTTCAAAGTTCTGAACGGTTGCAAACGAGGTCGGGTAGTGAGGTATGGAATTGTTTTATTATAGAGTCTAGTCGAGGTAAATTTTTGGCCACCTCTATTCTCACCCGGGGTGAGAATAGTGCAGGCGGGTCTTGTGGCTATTCTCACCCGGTGCGCGTGTCAACAAATTTTGCGTCGAAAAGTTAAATAGCCGTAGCATCTTTGTAGACAACCAAATTAATTTACTTTTGT